TACATATAGACATCAACACATATTAAAATGGCGGGATAGTTTATACATTTACAGCTGCAATAAGAAAATTGCTTCTTTAAAATATTTTTTCATGTTTATAAAAAGAAAATACAATATTAAAAGCCATCACAGTGTGTAAAGAGACATGGAGGGGAACATTTTCTTAACGTTTACACTTCAGTGCACACAACCAGGTTCTGTAACACACAGATGTCATCAGTTCTCAGGTGAATATTGGCGCTAATAATCAAACGTCAAAATAACACTATAACAACTAGGGCTGCAACTAATGATTATTTCGCAAATCGATTAATCTGTAGGTTATTTTTTTTTATAAATCGATTAATTATCGGAAAGAAAAAGGTTTCTTAAAGAAGATTTTGTACGAAATTAAACCAGGTGAAATTAAAATAATTCCACTTGCGGAGTTCAGGATAAAGCATATTGACAGATGAAAAAGCTATTTGACCTTAAATGCAAAATGTTTATATATTTCTTTTAGAAATATATAATAAATATATATAAATGTATAATTGCTGATTAAAGGTTGTTGATTTGTCACCTAAAGGCATATTTAGCAGTCTCTAAACTCCAGTTAACGATTAATCGATTACTAAATCAATTGACAATTATACAATAATCAATTAATTAAGATTTTGTGAACATGTGTTGATTAGGACTCAAAATACGGAAATTAAAATTCTACATACAATAGTAAAATAAAAAAGTAAAAATAATTTCCCAATATTAATAATGTATCAATTGTGCAAATTATTTTCAATACATTTTTTAAAAATCTCTCTTTTTTTAATCTTTCTATCGCAACTAAGATATGCTGCAGAACCCTCAGCACGCCCACTTCCCCCGGCCATGGGTGACGTCAGAAAATACTAATTGGTATCCCTCTAAATCTGACTTTTTTAATCAAATAGAATTTTAAGAACTCCGTATTGGAATAAAACACTTTGATGAAAAAAGTCTTTATTCTGAATTGCATGCAAATGCATCACACTCCTACAAAAAAAAAATTACAGCTAAATATATTATTTATGTCCCTTTTGATGGGATACACAAAGAAAATTGATTTTTTTTTTTTTTATAAACCCAGATTTTATGTTTTAGTGTGCCTGTTTATTCTTTGAAAAAAAAGAAGCCTAATTCTTTGTTTTTAAAAACAGCAGGAACTCACCCTTTATTATTATAAAAGTTTCGGGACAGAATCCAGGCTGTAATGATTATAGTTGGTAATCCTGGGAAGAAAAGATGGAAGACCACGGGAGGAAAAACATTAGAAAAAGAGTAATGATACCTTGCTAACAAGAAACTCTGATAAAGTAACAAAGACACCCACCCCAGCCGATTAGTATATACCACCAAAAGTATTTTTTTTGAAAGACGAAGGTGAGTGCAAGGAGTGTCTGTAGGTACATTCCCTCCACAAGAAGCCAGAAGTAGTTTGCAAGGATGCTGAACTGGAAAAAGGCCACGGCGGACTTGCAGGCTGTCTGCCAGAAGAGAACAAGGACAACTATCAGACAATTTAGCAAATTGCTAAGAGTTATATTGGTTGCAACACACTTTTTACAACCAATGGTGGAGGTACTGTAGACATTAAAATTTAATGGAATTGCTAGAAGTTGGTACCAACTGCTGGAAGTCAGTCTCTGCAGGAATTTTTTGAAGTCAGATAAAATCCACTCACCTTATCTTAAGTCAACTAAATAAAGAACTGTGTTTAAAGTATTTTTGAAGGCTAAAAGTAGATAATTTAAAGAAAAAGCTCGAAATAAGACCAGAAATAAAACTTAGATTTGCGTTAGATTTTAAAAAGGAAAAAAAAAAAAAAAAATATATATATATATATATATATATAATAATACATTTTATTTAACAGCGCCTTTCTTGACACTCAAGGTCACTTTACAAATACTACAAAAAATAAATAAAAAGAGATGAAAATACAAAATACAGATACAAATATATATATATATATATATAGACATATTTAAATAAAAGGTTGGCTGGATTAACCAAATTTCAATGTGTGGTTAGTAGAAATGGCCCTGAAAGCCTGCTTTATGCTTCATAATAAAGACCATCACAAGCATCTTCCTAGGGTTTATCTATGCCAGAATAGTGTTGATGGTGTAGGATGCATGCAAAAGAAAAAAAAATCTTGAATGTGTGTTTTGCTGCAAGCTTTGTGGCTTGATGCCAGAACAGTGGTTTATAGTGCCATAAGCTATTATATACACTTTTAACATTGGTGGAACAATTTTCATGCAGGTTTTTCTTTCCAAACTCCAAGTTGCAAGTCAGATTTTTGATTAGGCAAATCTTTAACAATATTGATTAATAATAAAAAAGAAATTGTACAGTTCAATGTTTCATTCAGCTCTTGGATTTGCATTGTGAAATGGTTTGAAAATATTCTAAATTAATTAGTTGTGTTTAAACACAAGTCTAATTGTGTTTAAATGCTAATTTTACCTCATTACAAACTCCTAAATATAAGCTTTGGTTCTAAAACACCTTGGTCCAGGCCAAGGACCCCCAAACTGATGGTGAGATGGAGCAGGGACCCCCTTATTATATATATTGTATGAAATTGTGTTATATCAAATTGGTCCTATAGTCACTCTATAACAGATGGAGGAATGTAACAAAAGTAATTTCGTCCTGGGATTATTAAAGTATTTCTGATTCTTATTCCTGTTTGATGGGAGAGGTGTTGTGAATGAAACGGTGCCCAGCTTGAAAGAGCTCCTGTGTGTCGCTGAATGTGAGCATTGATGACTGAAAGCCATCTCATGCCTCATTTTATCTGGTTACTACAGTCTGTTGAATTCATGTTAATGTGTATTTAAAGACATTTCAATTGGTGCGAAAAATTGCAGGAGGGTATATAAGTAAAAGTTTAATCAACCAAAACTTTCATGACCCCCATGCAGTACCTCTGTGGACCCTGTTAAAGACCTCCGCTCTACAACATAAAATCCATGCTAAAGTGCGTTATCATTGTATTGTTTTATTGTTTCATATATTAATTTATGCTATTTACTCACTATAAAACTTTTCACTCAGCCTGTTTCACCTGCAAGGCCCCACAAGTCCCCTATACGAGGGTGTTTTTAGACAAGAAATACCTTCTTCTCGTAACAAACCAGATTCTTTCATAAGGTTCATAACCTGTTACTGTTTAACCAAAGTGTCTGTAATTAGTTTTGACTCTGACAACTTTCCATTATTGTGAGTAAGGTTGGAACAAATGCTGCCCAGGCAGAACAGGGCTGATTATCAGGCAATAAGGGCTGTATGATGAACTGTTCTCTCTTTGCAAAGAGATAAAAATAAAGTGCCGACTGAGTGAAATCCATTGATCTCCGTTTATTTAACTGGAGCAAATAGTTGAATACTTTTTTTACACTACAGTAGTCATCATGGTATTGAAAATTTGTGTGACTTTATATTTAAAGCTGTCACTATGCCAGTGATGTTAAACTCCACCAGGTAATCTACAAAATACATACTTTACAAATACCATGTTGTTGTCATGACACTTTAGATGCTTTGATTCTTCAAAGTGGTGACTTGCATGATCGCAGCAGCTGCTGCACCCAGTAGCCCTCATACAAACTTCACCTCAAAGCGGGCACGGATTTCTTAATGAACTAATATACTAATAAAGTACAAGATGAATGATACTGTGTATATCTTGTTTCCTAAGAAGTGCCCAAAGATCACAGACTGTATTAAGATGAAAAATAAATCCAGCTTGATTTAATGCCATAAAAAGCAGAGCCAGGAGGAATAATTGCTGTCACTATGGAAAAGCTCAGAGCAGAAACATAAAATCAATTCAAATGAGCTATACCTAATCTTAAAGCTTATGTATTAATATAAGGCGGATTCTATTTTTATAATTACCATGTTTGCTGAAGAAACCCAATACTGAAATTGTATATCAGAAAAAATGCTGCAGGTGCATCACCAACTTAATTGGTTTTATAAAGGAATTCCCAAACTCAATGTTGTCAAAGCCTAACACACTGATATTTACTGTTTGTAACATCATTGCAGATGAGCATCATGAAGTGCTGAGAAAGTGATCGAAAATAGGAAAGAAGAACGGTTAACTAAGGGACACATTACAGAAGCAAATTGAATACGCAGTAAAGCTATACATCAGTTAATTTGTGTAATTGTAAAAATAAATCTGATTCCAAACGTTGAAATTTACCTTGAGAAACTTTTTTATGTGTAAATCCTATCATAGTATTTTCTTTGAGTGACAATAATGGGATATAGATTACTCTTAATTTGAAAATACCACATAAAAACATGATGAAATGAAGCGTATGTTCACACTGCTACACACACTACGATGAGTTTCCAAATTCAAAAATTAAGAATTATTGGCTCGGTGTCTGAACAGTTCTGCTGCTTCATCGGTTCCCCACAGGAATGTGATGTGTCACCTTTTCTTTTCATGTTAAATACAAGCATATGTCATATTATATGAAATAAGGGATCTATTTTAAAGTATGCAGATGATTTAATCGTTTTTATTCAGCTTAATAGATTAGAGACTTATCACGGCCCTCTGGTTGAAGAGTTTGTTCAGCGATTTATGAATCTTTCATCTACAACAAAAACCATAGTACTATCTGAAAAAAATCTCAGGAGTAGCTGTATTTTCTTAAAATGCTCTGGGGAGTTAACTTGTTACAATGGTTCATTATGTCTTTCTATAGTTGCCTTACAGAAAGCATCTTCTCTCAGAGTATTTTGGCATGTTATTGCTCTGCAACAAAATTGAAATTTCTAACGAGAATTATAAAAACTCCCAAGAAAATAATTGAGCGACAGCTTCCTACTGTGGACAATTCATCAACTCACATTGCCTGCAGAGAGCTAGCAATATTCTCACAGACTCGCTCTATCCTGCCCACCACCTGGCTGAATACCTGCTAAGGAAAATGTAACACATCCATCACAATAGATAGAGCATTTCGGGACAGCTTCAACCCTAAAGCTATTCATATTATTCATTCTGACTAAAATAGCTCATTAAAATGACTAAAGTCTGTTAGCGTTAATGGGCAAGACATTCTTTATTTCATTAAGTTCTACTGCACATAATAGCTAGTGAAGTATTAAATCCATACATGCAAATCTCTTTTGCTACGGTGGCTTTTATGCATTAACTTAATTTATCATTCAGTGGCTATAGTTGAGTACATCAGAATTTTGTGTTTTCTTTTTTAGTGGTGTATTGACAACTGAGTTTTAAATTTCATGATAATTAGTCATATGTTTTGCATATTCATACGGCTAAGACACAATACCGATCAATTTTCAGTTGTTTGGCAGAGACCATATTGTTATTCAAAATATCCTACTGTTTTAGAGATCATGATCCCATTCATAGCATACTTTTTAACAGGTCAACAGCATGTCAGATAATTTACAGCATAGCTAACTTGATCTAAGAATACTTTTCCAGTCAAAGTCCTGGTAGTTCAAGCAAATGATGTTTGTGATAATTGGTCATACTGTACTTGTACTTGGCATGTATAATATCAGGTTGTTTTTTTTTTACATGTACTTCTGTGGCCTCTCAGACACACAACATTTAGTGTTTGCTCTACAATAAGATATCTAAAGACAGTCATCTAATTAATCAGGCATCAAAGTAGTACACATTGATATTATAATAATGTGGTAATATGACATTAAACCATTTGGAGTATATGTATTTTGGTTGGTTGGTGGGCATATATAGCAATTAATGGATGATTTATTGACCCCGAGCAACTGTATCAAGACTTCACTCTCTGCTGCAGAGCATCAGATTTTAAAACCTTTCCCATTCTGAAGAGTTGGCCAAGAGAAATGGTTATCATCATTTTAAGTTGGGAATTTCTCAGGGACCATTATCTGCAAAATTGTTTTTTTGTATGGGTTTATTAGTATGGTGGGTTGAAATGTAACAATAAGAGAAATTTTTTCATTTTTAGAAAACAATAAATAATCTACCAATAGCTCCTTCTCCATTACCCCTCAAACTCATGGAGCTTTTGAAAGCCTGGGTAGAATCTCCATAAACATTTATCGGGTAAATTCACTTTCCCAGGGCTTTACTTTCCTGGGGCTTGGTACCTTCTTGAGACCCAGTACTTTGTGGTCTTTTAAGGACTGGTTTATTAGGGGGTTATAGCTGAAGTGCTTTATTCCACCAGCAACAGCAGTAACCAATGGCATTACTTTGAATATCTTGCTTTTCATGTCTTACACAAACTACATTTTAAGATCTTTTTAAGCAAAAAAAAACACCTCAATATTTGATCTGTGTATTCAGTGTGTCAAGGAGGGAGGGACGGCCTAGTGGTTAGCGCATGCAGCTTGGAATCCTGAGGTTCTGAGTTCGATTCCCACTCCTATAGAATGCCAGTCTGGGTCTCTGAGCAAGATCCTTAAACCCACACTGCTCCGCAGGCGCCCCACGATGGCAGCCTACTGGTCCCCAATGTGAGATAAATAAAGTTAAATTATAAAAAAAAAAAAAAAGACATAGCCTAAAATAGTGTCTATTTTGAACACATTGTACAGTTTAGAAACAGCTCTGGCCAGATGCAGGTTGATCAACAAGTTAAATGTCAAAAAAAGTTTTTAAACTTAAAAATTGACTTATAACTGGTTGGCATTGGAGGCAAAGGGAGAACCACTTGTATATTCTCCTTACACTGAAAAAAATCAAAATCGAGATAAGCTTCTTGGATTGAGGGGGTAAAAGAGACATTTTGCCAGAGGAACAAGACAATTAACACTTTAAATAAGAAAACGCAATTACATTGTCTTATTTTAAGTGCATTTTATCTAATAATCTTATTTTAAGAGTAAAAATACTCATTCCATTGGCAAACTATCTTATTTACCTACTCAAATTAAGGGTAAATACACTGAATTTAAGAAATTGTTACTTATTTCTAGACCATTTTTCCAGCGTAAAGCTAACCGCTGGATTAAAGGTGCAGTGCAACTACTTTGGTGTTGATTGTGTATGACCTTGCAGAGTAATGGGAAAGCAAGCTACGCTTCCTATTACCTGGGCAACACAAATCCTGGGGCTTTCAGTGGGGCTATGACTGTTCTTTTATGGCTTTTTCTATATTTCCATTCTTAAGTAGACGGGGATTATATCACTAGCAAATTCCATGTTTCATTACTACAACCAATGAACTAGTAGGACTAAAATTGGTCCTACTTCTACCCTGAGGTTTTAAGCCTTACTTCCCCACCAGATTAGTCACAGAGAGTGCTTCTTATTCCTCACTGACAATCAGCGGGGACTCTTACACGTCTCACAGCAGCTTTGTCAGCAGAAAAGCAGGACGGGAACCCTCATCAGTAATCCAAGACATTCTCTGGATTTTACCCCTTTCCTTCTTATTACATTCAAACAAGACGTACAATTTGTATCAGTTAGGTTTCTTTATTTTTGCAGGAGTTATACCTGCATTTTTAGCTGATGTTTATCCTCTAAAACTCACTACTGGTCAGTTGATGCACTTATTTTAAAAAAGCAACACTCACTGTTGACATGAAGCAGTGGTCCATATTTTCATCATTAAAAAGAACCAGATCTTTGATAAAGACAGCACTGGCTCTCAGGATGAAGGAGAAAAACAAATTGATGTGGATGTAGTTCCTGGTGCAATGAAACTTCCTGCAAAGACAAAAATAAAAAGTTGCTTAAAACACTTTGTGTTCCCCCACAGCATGTCTGTGCATAACTTAAGACAGCAGAAGATTGGAAATAGATACCTGAAAGCAGTGAAGACAAAAATAGCTGTTATAAGTGAGATGAGTGAGGTAGCATAGCCAGCAGTATACAATTGTTTAAAGTTGGAGAAATATGTCGTCTGAAAGAGACAAATAAAATTAGCACATCACATCAACTCTTCACCAACTCATTGAATCTTCTCAGATATGCAACTTTTCTTTATTTTCAGATAGCTGAAACTTATTTGATGAATAGTTCAGATTAGTTAATTTTTTTATATGTTATTGTGAAAATATATAAAATGGCAGCGTGGATTCACTTGGACCACTAGGCCACAACACCCAGGAGAGTGGCGGCCTAGTGGTTGGGACATAGAACTTGGAATCCTGAGGTTCTGAGTTTGAGTCCCACTCCTACAGAATGCCAGTCTGGGTCTCTGAGCAAGACACTTAACCCCACACTGCTCCCCAGGCGCTGCTCAATGGCAGCCCACTGCTCCCCAAGGGGATTGAATAAATACAGAGGTACATTTCTCCTATGTGAGGTCAATAAAAGTTCAATTATTATTGGAGGCAAAGTCGCTTCTATGTCATTCACTGCAACTGAGTCTCATCAAGTCTTAAGTTGTCAGTTTATTTCCAAGAGCAGCAATGCTTTCGGTAAACGGGGCTTGCTACGCTGCGTCATTACGCATGCTCAGGCTACTAATTTGCATCCATTTGTTTCTGTTACTCTGTTATAATTTCTGCAACACCGTGCAGCCGGCTACGACGTATGATCTGAGACTATTGCCATTGTTGCCCTCTCATTTAAGGGAGAACGGTTGACCCCCATTCTAGCTATGCCCTTGCTCCAATGGCCTCAACCAATACAGTAGATGTTACCAAACATTAAAGCTTTCGTTGAAGAAAGAATACTTGATCCAATTTTTATTCAAGGCAGAGTAGTGATGATTGGTAAAATATATTACACTACACTGCTCCTAAAAGTACTTAAAAAAGAGTTACTTACTGTAATTGATTGTAACTGAGGAAATGTTACTAGTTACTATTCACCTCTGGGGTTTGGTGTGTTGAAGTAGAATAACTGTACCAGACTTTAGACATTAGATAAGTGACCTCACAACTTCAGTTTAGGAACAAATGGCAAAACAAAAATGGCAAATAATAGCAGAATAAGATGTGCATTCTGACATAGTAGTTCTATTTCGGAACACCAAATACTGAAAGTAAATTAAAAGTTGCCACAGCAAGGATCACTTGGTGTACCTATTTTTTTTTAAAGATTGGTTTTATTATTTAGCTAAGTTTTGAAAGAATATATATTTTATCTCATAGTTTGAGGGAACTTTTAAAACTTCCAACCTCACCAGAATCATCTTGCACAGTCCATATTCCATGAATCATATTTATTTTTTTCTAAGTTCAGTTTTGACAAATGTTGAGTTGACAGCAGGGGCTTAATTATAATGTAAAATAGAAGCGCTTATTTTTTTCTATAAAGGCTCGGATTGCTGCAAAAAAAAAGGTCATGTTTTTGACATATGTCATCTACTTGTTCTAATTATGACCATAATAAGACCCGGACCTTTATAACCAGTAATTTAATCAGAAACAGCAGGTTGTAATTGTAGAAGTGCAGTGAACAATAAGTCAGCACTCCACAGCTACACAACAGTTTCTCTAAAAGGTGTCAGATAATTTCAAAATAAAAATGGTCAGAACTTAAAAGGAAACAAAAAGCGATAGAATAAAAAAAGTTATATAGAGAACAGTGACCCACCAAATTAAATGAAAAGAAAACCGAAGGATTTTTCCTAAGTATAACAATGCTGCCAACATGATAAGATTGACCTACCTCTGGTTCTGTCGTTTTATCATCTTTAAACTCACAGGCATCTTCGTAGTGTGGATTGAGCTCAGACCAACCCTCCTCAGTGCAGTTTCTAGAAACAAAACCTAAGAGAGGCAGAGCATTTAATGACTTGGACAGAAGGGAGTGAAAATGCTTTGGGGGAAAAAGCAACCTTAAAACATCAACTGGCAGGTTTGCAAATAGACTAAGACGAACGTCAATGCTCATCCGGGTACTCTATAAAGAGACGTTCCAGACTACCGTTATATATATCTATAAAATGGAAATACTTTTATATAAAAATATATGTAAATGTATTTACATCTACAATATATATGTAGATATATATGTAGATATGGTTACTTAAAAAAAAAAGCTATTTTTTCAAGTCAACCAAATTGTTTTTGTAAAGTTCATTTTTATTACTTAAGTTCTGATAAAAGAAAAAATCCGTAACAAATATATAAATATTACAAATAACAATTTAAAGAATCCAAAGATAAATGAACATAGACACACAAAAAAAATCTAATACTCAGACAACTCACACTGGATTTAAAGTGTCCTTTTTTTAAGAGATATTAAAACAGGAAGTAAATAAGCCTTTGGAATATTGGAGTGGAGATCATAGTCAAATTTAAGAAATCCAGGTAAAAGCTGTGCAGCAGCATTCTGCATTCACAATTGTTGCTCTGAAATTGGAGATTCTGAAGTGAGGGTATGAATATAAAGCTTTGAAAAAAAAAAGAAAGTACTGTAATGAAATCAATGTCAAAAACTCCTGGAAGGGGTCTTTACTCGATGATTGCTAAAAAGCCCCAACATGAAATGAAAGGTTAAAGCCAATTCACTGTTATTCAGCTACAGATCCACCTCAGGAGGTAGTCAGGTACCCATAAGAACGAGCTGTACAGGGTGAGATTTGTGTGTGTTATCATGTAATAATAGGCTGTGGAGGTGGGGGCTGTGTGTCGTAGCAGCAGAGCAGGTGCGCCATTTTCAGAGGCCATTGGTCCTAGACTCAGCCGACCTGGAGACCTTTGCTGCATGTCTCACCTCCATCTTTTTTTTACTCATTTCCTGTCTGACTATTGTGAATGAGGGCAGCCTTGGCCAAAGAAAAACAAATATGTGGTCAAATGTATTCATATAAAGCATACTACCTCTGCAATTAATAATAATAATAATAATTGTAAATGTAGATACACTGTTTTTATTTAAGTTATTTAAATGAAACCTTTGATAAATCTTATTTGTCTTTATTTGTCCGTAATGATATTGATTCCCACGATTAATGAAGAAAGGTGCAATTTTCAGACTAAACGATCAGTTTTACATCACTGGGTTAGTGAGACCCTGGATAATCATCAGCCATTCATCTGAACTGAGAATTATGTTACAACAGCAACTAACGCAAATAACAGTGTAATAAACTTATTGTATTAAAATACTGAAAGTATTTGGTAAGATGTTTGGGCATACGGTATAAGTCGCCCAGTTTAGGGAGAACAAAAAACTTGAATTATCTGAAACGTCCCGAATTCCCCTTTTTTCTCTTCCTCGAGGTTCTTTTCTGAACGTACGGCTATATGAAGCAGTTCAGCACAAACTTATAGCGATATAATTTATCTGACGAAATTTATACAAATTTTTTTAAAGAAAGCATTTTAAATGCCACAATAATAACATTTAATGAATTTTAATGCCAATTAAGGCCTTAAATTAAAAAATAATAATTTAATGACATTTAATGATTTTTAATGACCAGCGGAAACCCTGGACAAACCCAAAGAAATAGACTTAACACTAAAAACATGCCCAAGGAAATTGCTGCATTAAAAAAAGATGGCAAAGTGAAACGGCCTGCAAGCACAAAACCAGCTTATTTTAACGTCTCCCCCATTGGTGTGGAGCACTTCTGCTGTGCAGAGGTTCTTCTCAGCTTGTCTTAACTTGCAGTTGTTTTTGCCACTTGCAGAAAGTTTTCTTTACATGTGTTTCATTTGTGTGTTAGCAACATTTTTGTGTTTGCTGCATCTTTTCACTTTGCTTCCCTCTATTTTCTCTGATTACAGCATTTTCCTTTGCAAAAGTTTCCCTTTGCAAGTGTTTTAGTCTCGTTTTTGTGTTTTGCAGGAATTTTCACATATGCTGTGAATTTATGTATTTAAACCCCTAGTTCACTGTGGATGTGTGCTTTAGTAAACTGTTAAAACATGTTGCAGTTTCTAGACTAGGTCCAGGCAAGACAGCAAATAGTGCGTATACTACAGTTTATTAACAAGCAGCAGTTGAGAGAGCAAGCAAAAAAGAAGAATGAGCAGATGAGTCAAATATTTAGGTGTGATTATTATGGATCAAATGTCAAATCAAAAGGTTAGTAAATAAAGTGTAGGAGGAAAACTAATAACCATGAAACTAATAAAAAAAAAATTGTAAAAAAATTATTACAAACTGTAATAAAATGCTGGTTTGACAGCTTATTAAGAAATATAGATGTAATTACTGGTGAACAAAGTCTGTGGGTGGCAATTGGTGACAAACTCTGACAATTAGGGAACAAGAAAACCTTATAAATCAGAAGATCATGATAAGCAAACAAGGTAAATGATAAAGCACTGATGTTTATATACAGTATAAAAAAGACTCTCAGGTACAGAGAGATAAAGAAATTCATAATGTAGGTCAAACTAAAGTACAAACATAAACCAAAAAAGATATACTGTAACAGTAGAAAACCATTCAAATCTATCAAAACTCCAACGTTAGTGACATTGGTGACAATAATAATAATTTTAAAAAATGCATTAATATACTTGGTGTCTTTTATCAGCTTTTTTCCATTAGCTTCTTTACACTTTTCCTCACATGAAAGAACATTAAGTAACTGTGTAGAAGCAAAAGATTTAGTCCATAAACGATGTGCTTGTTTCTTGCCTCTGTATTGTTGAACAAAACATTTTTTCAAAAAAATATTTTAAAACATGAATTATCAAGGATAAACAAAAATATATGCACATAAAAACAAAAATCTTGGAGTCTGAATGTAGCTGGGAAAGGTAGAAATCTAAGTGGTAATTTCAAATGAGCTGAATTCCTGTTCAGTTCTGTTTTCCCACCATGGCCTGGAGTTACACAGATAGAGATGAGATTAAAACTTCTTGAAGTTTCATGTTACAGTACATGGAAAGGTTTTCAGGTACTCAGAATCAAATCCTACTCTCTGCAGAAGACAAAGTTTGCAGTAAAATGTCAGGTTTCATGAAGTGAAAACGCTGTCCAGCTTCTCAGCACAGTAGAGTGTGGGGGTTTGAGTCGTGGGTGGATTTACTGATATCCAACTGCAGTACAGTGCAGCAAGTAGACCCTGCAGCCGCAAGAAATGCTTGGATGCGATTTGAGGTTTGAAGGTTGCGGCTCCTGGGACAATGCTAAAACTGATACTGTGGCTTTTAACAAGCAGTGTCAGCTCCCTACTCATGCTCTTGGCTCTTTACTGCACTCTTTGATTTTTCAATTCATTATTTTTTTTCTGCAGGGTCCCATTGGAAAGGCTGGACCAACCTGTGGAGGAGGAAATCCAGCAAGGTCCTGGAACTGACTAACATTGAGTTATGAGGTCATTTACCACAACCTTCACCTCCTGATGCCTCTATGCATAACCTTATCTTAACATTTACTCATAATCAGTTTGGGGTTTTTTTCGTACAGGAAATGTCAGTGTATTTTTAGCAAACACTCTGATCATTCCACTGTTTCTTCTTTGATAGCTATCTGTTATATGAATGTGTGATAGAAATGTTATGTTTCAGTACAATTAAAATGTGCAAAATCACCACAGTGATGAAAGGGAAAGGTTCTTAGTCAACTAACATTTAACATTTAACATATAAGCAGCCTGGCATTCTTGTAACATTTCATTTAAAGGTTTTTCTGGTTTCAGGAAAGTTTTATTTATTTATTTATTTTTTACTTTGGCAAATCTTTACACTATTAATATTCTTGTTTCAAACTGTATTCAGAAATGTTGTCATTGTTAATTGTTAAGATGCTTAAACCTGGTCTATAAACTATTCAGGCATAAACAAGGTATACCCAGTGTGGTGCCAATATATAACAGACAGCTGTGTTTTTAAACCAAAATCACAGCTGGGTGCCATGTATCTAGGAAAATTTACAATCAATAAATAACTTTATTTCAGAGTGTCTAATGAAATGAAATTTAACACACATAAACATGTATAATAGAGTCCTGCAACGGGTCGGGTACCCGCGGGTCCCCAACGGGTCACCCGCTAAAATGCTCTTTTGCGGGTGAAAAATACATAAATAAAAATAAACGGGTCGGGGGTCGGGCGGATATTTCTTTAGTGCGGGCGGGTAGTTGGTGATTTTTTTTTTATGCATGTGTGTTGTTATGGACATCAGAAATGTTATATTAATCAGGCACTGGGGTCACCCTTGTTGTAGCTTAAAGCCCTGCCGGCAGTGTGGGCTTCCCTCCAAAAAGGCCACAGTCAGTGCATACACGTCTGCTGCAGTGTTAATGGCGCTGTTCTGCAGCGCAGCGTACTATAGCCTATTACTTGATGTGTTAACGGGTCGGGTTGCGGGTTAAATATCAACGGGTCGGGTTCGGATTTGAATTGAAGATATCCGCGGGTGACGGGTCGGGTTCGGTAGTCATCCTAACAGGTTCGGGCGGGTGCGGGTTGGGAAAACTCGACCCATGCAGGACTCTAATGTATAATTCATGATATTATAATGGATAATTGCATTACATTGTATGCAAGACTTGATATGAACGTTTTGCTCACAGCCCACTGAGGCCGAGGGATTTCCAAAGTGACTAGCCACTCAGCATTTTTTACTAGTCACTTTTTTGTTGTTAGAAAATGATGTTTTATATGATTAAAGATGACTATTGTCATTTCCTGAGCGTGGTATGTGATACTTTGATCCAAATAAGAGAGAAATATCAATGTTAGCAATACAGTGATTAAAAACACCCAAAATAGGTTTAAAACTAAAGATGATTCTATAAAAATAATTAAGCATTCAGTAATATTTCACTTGAACCAAACTGCATAAATCAATCTTATTTTATGAAATCCAAATCAAAAACAGGAGAGGCAAACAGTGGATGAGGCGATGCAACAGTTTCAAAGATAGATATTATATTTACGTCTTACATTTTAATTTTAGTGGGGTTAGTGGAAACTTTGTGGATGTGTAACTCATTACTTTGTGGACTGCTGGTTTGAATGTGCCTTAACAGCTACACCGTTGTTCCCACTGAGACCACCTTTCTAAAGTGACATCGATCACTAACAGATCAATGAGCAAACTCATTGGTGCTCATGGGAGATGCAGTTTTGTAGTCACATTTAGATTAGCTTATTATTTCAGATGACATTTGAGAATCCACAATTAAAATAGTAAATAGAATCTAACCCACCAAAGTGGCTAGTGTTGTAGCTGAAATTTACCATCATTTGGCGGTATAGCAGTGCTAATGTCAAGCCCTGATTGTATGTTTCATTTAGTCTTCATGTCTAAAAGGGGTATAAAGAAGTGAAACTTATTTAAACATAGCCGTTCTCCTCCACAGCAACAATCATCCTCATTTCCAATTTACTCATGAGTCCACACTACTTCAGTCCATCAGGTGAGCAAATAAATGTATAAAGTTATTCATTTCCATTGAAACCAAAAACTGTTTTTACTGTAAACTTGGCCCACATGATTATCAGTTAAAGGATAATGTAGCTATATCATCTGTCACCATGTTTTTTCATCAGTCTTCATTGTTAGAGTTCTGGGTTTGTTATGTTTTTCTTTTGGATGTTTAGTTTTGCTTTGCTTCTTGTTTTCTTGTTTTTTATGGTTTAATTCTTATTTTATTGTGTTCTTTAGTTTTTTCTCAATTAATGTCTTAGTCTTGGTTCTGTTGTGTTTTCTTTTGAGATTTCAGTTTTGCTTTACTCCTAGTTCAATAGTCTTAGTGGTTTAATTCTTCAAATTTTCAGCTTTCTAGGTTTTTCATTTTGCCCTCTGCTGCCCTCTTGTGTTCTCCCTTTTCCCTAGCTCTTTTCCTCTCATGCTCTGTGCACACCTGCTCCCAGTCTGCTCAATAGCCCTCTCTTTGTTTCAGTCTTCTACATATACAACCTCTGTTCTGCTCTCCTTTGCTTGGTCCTCATCAAACATGCTCCAACTCCTTCTCTCTGAGCCTTCCTCCTTATGATAGGGATTCCCATGATGTCTCCATGTGTTCTGGTACGTTTTGACTAGTTGTCCTGTTTTCGATTTTTGCATTCCTGGTTTCCTGTTAATTTGGACTCTGTTTTCGTTTTTGGATCTTTGGATTACCTGCCTCTGTTTTTTCAGTAAACTCATTATTAAATCCACAAGAAATTCACCTCTGCTTCCCTGCCTCTGCTTTTGGGTCAACTAACCATAACCAAATCGTGACACTCGTATATTTTGATATTTGTTTCCCCCTTATTTAAAATACATTTGTTCCCTCATGTTGCACAACTTCATTTATAGTTTTGATTAAACAAACCATAGGTGAGAGAGGGGTCAGTGGGAGACAGAAGGGATAATCTAAATAGTCTGTGCAAACAGAAAGGCAGAAGTGCATCCAAAAAAAAAAACAGAGCAGTCTTCATAAACCACCCAACAAAAACACAACACAGTCCTGGGGGACCTTCAAAACAACATGTTCCACTGTTCCGGGCTTTTGCTCTGGTGAATGAACGATAAGAACTCACCATAATGTAAATTTTAAACAGGATTCTCATTTTACTTTTCTTTTTTTTTTTATAGATAATATATAATCTTGAACAATAACAAATCTTTGTGGCTTTAGGATAAAATACAGTATGGACTGAAAATAATCATGAAGGCAAAAAAAAAAAAAAAACAGGAGGATAAAAAGATCAGCACAGCTTCTGGCATGAATATCCATTTGAACTTTGAACTGCTGCATTTCTGCAGGACTCAGAACTGAAGCAGCAAAACGCTGTTTTTTTTCTGCTTAAATAAGTTGTTTTGGAGCAAAAAAAAAAAACCTTATAATACAACACAAACAGCACCATTGCAAACAAACAAAAAACACAAAGCCATTGCTCTCTACCGACTAAACATAATCAAAACTTATTTTACAGCATTTAAAAAAGCTAAACTTTGACCAATAGTAGAATGTTAGCTATGGTTTCTATGTTACAGCTGAAGTTTTAAGGAAATGATTTACCTTGGTTGTCAGCAAAGAGCTGAGTGATGTCAGCACATAAGATCCTGATCACCTCTCCCACCTGAGCCCGATGCCAGCAGTACATATGATCCCATGAGGTTGGGCAACCTGTCAAAACAAAGCAACACATTTACCAAATAATTCCACTAATGTGTTCAGAATCGACATACTGCTACATACCACTCATATTGTATCGCTGCAGAGAAAAGGAGCTTCAAGCTATAAATCTAGAATATGATGCTCAAGATAAATCGCTGATGACATGTGTGTTAGCATTGGCTTATAAATAAGGACAGATTTAATTAAAAGGATATTATAAAAAAAATGTAAAATAATAGACAGCTCCAGTTTGTTAACTGGTGTTTTCTGCATTTATTTGTTTAATCTAAGAGTTCAAGTTCCTCTCATAAAATTAAACAGGACAAAAAGTTGAGGACATTTTGATCTAAGCCACAGCTATGCATGTTATAAATAGCCCAATGAGGAAAAAAGGGGATTTTTACATGCCCTAAAATTCATCTTTACTCTCAAGAAGTGGCTCAGAAATGTGAACATTCAGATAAAAAAAAACAGAATAATAGAGTGGTACATGTTGTTTTATACATGAAAGGATAGGAGAGAATTATATAAATCCTGGTACTTTATAAAGGTTTCAATCTTATTCAAAATCAGAGCTGTTGACACAACTTGACTTCAAGCTAAAAGCAGGGGGTGCAAAAAGTTGTACCAAAGTACCTTCTTTATAAAAAATAATTAACAAATGAACAGGGATTTTCCAAAATGTAAACTTGCACATGGTGTCATTTTCTCTTCTTCAAGACATTTTATTTGTTATTCTTAAAGCAAAACATCAGCTAAATGTATGTGGGGGTTTTTTAATCAGCTTCTTAGGTGAATTTCTGCTTTTTGGTGGGATTAACCCTTTTCGGAACATTCCTCAATATTCTGGTTTTGGGAGACCAACCAAACTACCCTTTGGATTTAAACCAAAGGATTTAGCTTATTTATAACAAATGCACAAAATTAAACAAAAAAATTTTATAATATGCGATAATTTTTGTTCCACCTCATGATTGTGTCCCACTTGTTTCTTAATTTTTTACAAAAAAAATACAATTTTATATATTTTATATTTTGAAGCCTGAAATGCAGCAAAAGGTAAATAAGTTCAAGGGGGTGAAAACTTTAGCAAGGAACTGTATGTGGTGTACTCCAGTAAAAAGTCTGCCTGGTCAATCTAAAAACTGTTGTATACAACCCATTTAAAATACTGTAAGCAACATACTTTTTTTTACCTTGAATGCATCTTAATCCTGCAGTACCAACTAATAAATCATTTTCCTGGATGAGAAACTTAGTTCTCTGATGTTAGTTTTCAAGGGGTTTCCCTCAGTCTGGAAAAGGCTGTTTGATTTTGTGACGTCCTCAGCCCTCCTCTCAGCCTACGCTTACTTTCCGCTGCTGCTCCCATCGCATGGCCAACGGAGCTTCTCCCTGCGGACTCTGGAGTTCGGGTCGAGAATGTGTTTGTGATAAGAGATGGTGTTAATGAGGCACCGGACTCAATCCGCCATCTCATCGTCTCATACTTCAAAGCTCCTTGGTCCTGCGTCAATTAAAAACGGCCGCACGGAGAGATGCAGCTGCACTCATTCATAATGAAACACAGAGTTTGGCTGCAGAGGCAGGTTTGCCTGCCAGAGATGTGAGGAGGAAGACATCTCACAGGATAAATGAGGCTTTGAACACAATTTTTTTCATTTATTAGTTTTTTTCTCCATCATTGCTGCAGATGACATCTTAATTTATTACTGAATGTGCTACACTACCTTACGATGTAGTCATTTTATATGGTTAAGTATTGCAATGTTGTCAAACTGAGACTTCATTTAAATAAATACAGTAGCTAGGACTGTAGAATGCTGAATAACAGTGTAGGGGGCTGATGATAAACAGGAAAAAAACACTGCAGTGGGATTTAACAATGAGTGAATGGTCTCGTGCGTCTCATAATATAGTCATATTAGTTTTTTTTAGCCTTGAATATACCTGAGCAAAGTGGAATTCAATTTTACTGCAGGAGGCACAATGCTGACAATCAGTGATCTGTACATAACACGGTTTTCTGAATGGAAATGACTGTTTAACATACATGTAAATCTTGTATGAGGGATCGTATTGGAAATGGATTCTTTCCTTATTTGTCTATTTTGAACTGACCTCAGCTTGAATTAACTTTTACAAGCTTTTAGGTCCAATAATTAATTTTTTATTTCAGTAACTTTATAAAAATTACCCAAAACATCAGTTTTTGCAGCTTCTCGGTCTTGATACAAGCCTGAAGTCCTTAGATTGCTGTAAGGATTGCCCTCCTGTGGGACTCTTCCCAAATTGTACAGAAGGACTCTCAGAATGCTTATGTCTCAGATATCAATTCTTACTCATTTGGCTGCCTGGCGAGGGTTTGGTTAAGCTTTGACCCCCGAGCTGGCCTCAGCCTGAAAGAGCTACTGGAGGTTGCTGCTTTGTGGGAGTAGCAGTTGTAAAGAGGAATGACAGGGTCAGATACCATGCATGATGAGTGAGGGTGGGAGCCTTGCCTTGCTTATTCCTGGTGGCATTATGTTGGTTTAAGCAGATATCACTGACAAAAAGGAAATAGAGAAAATATTGACTGTAAATATTTTTTTAATGTTCTGTTACATTCCACCCCTGAAGCAACAAGTTGGGAGAATTGTTCCAACATGTCTGCTCATCTCTTTTAGACATGTACATCTGTTTGCATCGATCATTAAAGAGCACTAAACGTGTTTTTTTTAATTGACAAAACATCATAGTCATAATTCTAAATGAGTTTTTAAGGATATTACTGAAATATGATTTATTTTTTTACTTTGGTGAACAAAATAAGCACTGCAAAACAGGCAGCTGGAACAGAATTAGCTCATCATATTTTTCAAGAAACCAATTTAAGCTATTAAATTTTATTTTTTAAAGCCTTGTGAAAGCAAATAATGGGTAGGCGCACCATCATCAGTAGCTTAAACCATTCAAAACCTGTTAAAGTTTTTGGGGTTTCGCTGTTTTTCTTCAATCTCCATCACCTGTCTGCCCGCTCTCCAGCACAATGTCTCCAGCAGGAACCAACACGCTCAGATCTTACTGAAATTCTGCTGCACCTCTGGGGCACAGACTGCAAAGCCAGCTGAATCAAACCCCTACAGATCCATCCACGCTTCCTCTCCTTTATCTCTCAAGCAAGCAAATCAATCAGGCATCAGTTGTCATCAACCAACTCCTTCCCAATCAGTCTTTCTCCCCTCAGACCAACCAGAAAGTTCAACTGACTTCCTGCAGTTCTCTGCTTCCAAATTCTTGTTGCTTTTTAAAATAAAACATTAACATTCTGATTCTGCATGTTGGTCAAAAAATTACTTATCAACATGACAAAAGCACAGTAAATTAGTAGTTTCCCTTTTACAACTTCAGACCCTACCAGCTGCATGCCACACTGGAAAATCAAAGCTCATTGAGCCAGAAAACATGTTCCAATCTATCATAATCTAGTTTGCAAAATCTTAGCTTCTTCTGCTGCTGCAGTCCATTTTCTTCACCTCAGTGTGATTCCGTTGTCAACCATCATCTTGAACCGTTTTTCCACTTTCAAAAACATTTTCATTCACATATCTTTGGTTTTTTTATATGTTCTCCATTTCTGACCAATGTACAACAAAGACTTTAATGTGTAAACCTTCCTGCTAATCAGCAGCTGCTGAACTCAGACTAGTCCATTTGTCACAAACACACGTTACGTTCAAATCCAAATAAAATGATCCACCATCTGCCTGGTTTCAACAGCAAGTGTCATCAGGATATACCTAGATGTGTCCTTGTCTTTTTAAGGAACAGAGGACATCTGAAGTGACTTGGTGTTTTGTTTTTCTTTCTGAGGGCTGTGAAAGGTCAAACCTAGCTGCTCAGTATTAAAGCAATTTCTTTGTCTCACCCGCTTTACTGTGACATTCAAGGATTCACCTGTCTGACATTTCCGTATCCGATAAAAAAAAAGAGAAGAAAAAAAAAAACATTTGCCACGCCTTATGAAGAAAGATATGTTATTCTCTGGGATAGAAACGAAGGAAGAACAAGTATTATATCGATCAAATGTCAGCCTAAATGGAAGGCCCTCATTTTCTCCTCAAGGTCTTACTAGTTTATCCCTTGTCTGACTTAACGCTTCCTTTCTCAGTCTATTCTTGGTTCAATAAAACACAGGTACACTATCAGCTCTAACAGTGTTACAAATATTACAATAGTGAAGCCTTACTAGGATTGATAAACAGTCAAATCTCTTTCCCTTATGTGAAACAAATGAGGAATGGTGGTTCAACAGATAGGTGGGAGGTATTAAAGAAAAAAGCCTCAGTAGAGATCTAATTTACAACCTGTGTAATCCATCTGTCAGATCTTGAGTGACGTACATTTTTTATTTAATAAAAATGTTCAGTTTTTTTAGAATGTTCGAAATCTTATTTTCCTTAACAAATCAAAACAATAAAATTTTTCACAAGATAAAACAATAGCACAGTTTGCATTACAAAGCAAACAAAAATATTTAATTTTCTGCTAAATTTTAAAATGCAAAGATAAGCAATTTTGATATTTCTATGAATTATTATTTACAATTAAAACTGTGAATAGAAAAAATTGCACAATACAGTTGTTCACTATGATAACACTAAAAACAACATGGCAGCAGTGGATGTAAAGACACAAGATATATCAATATTTCAGCCATGGCTTTACTATTCATCAAGCTCATCATCCTAAAGTAAATGTAAAACATGCTCAGTCTCCAAATATACACTGCCATCATCCTCCAACTACTTCTGGTCTTTTTCTTTGTCTTTTTACAAGGCAGTAAGGTCGGTTGCATATAACTTTACTCGTTATGGGAAAAGAAAAATGTTTCAATTGCAGTTTTGCAAAATCTAAGAATAGCTATTCGACCGGAAAAAAACACCTAATCCAACCATAAAAACATTTTATCAAAAATGTGTTATTAAAAATTACAATGTTTTTCATTGAACAAATGTACTTTCATAATT